GTGATGTCGACCGCCTTCCAGGTTCATTTCTCTGGGACTGGTGAAAAGGCCGGCGGTCACACAAGACTCGTCATCGAGTAAGTTCAACGTTCAAGCCAAGTATATGTTTGAAATCAAGCTTTTACATATATTCTATATCACTTCGTGATGAACACAGATCCAAACTTTTATTCTATGAACTTCTTTTCTGGAAAAAAATAGTATGTGAATAAGATCACGTGTCGACGTCTGTAACCGTAACTCTCGCGAGATTACGTTTTGAGGTGATTGGTCATTCATTATCCTGATGAAGGCGACAGTGGCCGTTGAAAATTAGATCTCTGTGTAATCCTTGTGTTGGAATAAAGTTCAACTTTTTACTATGATTACTACAAATTGCAACACAGATGAACTTTCATGATAGTATGTTTCACTGTTTGCATTTGTTTATTTGTTTGTTTGTTTATTCGTTTGTTTATTTGTAGTAACGACGATGGAGTGACGTCCAAGAGTAAAGGCTGCACATGGCAGTGCTTCCACCGGTTTATCCAATGTACGGGCGGCTGTCTGATTCGCTTTTCCCGGGGTGCATTGCGCTGTCCCCAGACCTGTTCCCGGTGGATTCTGGGTAATGAGTGGATCCTGTGGTTTGGAACCAACGTCTTCACACTTATAGGCGCTGCCGCCTTCTTGCTTTACATCGTTACTTATCTAGTATGTCTTGGAAACTGGTTAGAAATAAGGAACTACCAACATCCTGTAAATGTCTCAAGCAACGACACCCACTTGGTTCTATGTAACCCAGAAGAAGCCCAGATCATGTTACCTTACATGTTGATTAATTTTATGGTGTACGCCTTGCCTTGGGTCGCCATCGTGCATTGGCAGAGGAACGGCAACGCGGAGAAACTGAGAATCTGGGAAGCCAAGTTCAAGGATTTAGAAAGAAATTCCACGGATTTTCGAGAAGAGGTGCGCGATTCGCGCCACTTCTCCATGTGTCTGCATTTCTTTGTATGCTTCATCTTGAGTGAAGTGAACGGCAGTCTGAAATGTGCGACTTGCCACGGACAGAAGGGCTTGAAATGGACCGTAAGTTACTTTGCCCACAGCGTCGATTACGACTTGTACTTTACTGGATGTTTCTTTGTCCAACTCGCCTATTTTACCGCCCTTTTCATCCCGTACATTTTCTACTGCAAGTATGCCACGGACCTGATGTACGCCATCGATTGTCGAATCTGGTACCTCCGATATGTGAAACACGAGTGGTTCGGTAAAAAGACGCCACCTTGCGAAATACTCCAGAACGTCAACCCCAACCTGAGAAAAGACGGTTGGTACAGAGAGATTGGCAGCATTGCAAATTTCTTCATGACGATGATGATATGCGTGGCGTATGTCCTCGTCGTTGTCTATTGTCACATCTACTTCTCTGCAAACCCTCCACTGCTAGACTGGACTCACAACGTCACCCAAGTTCTCCACAACTCCGCCATGCCGATCATTCCGTTCTTGTTTATACTATCCAGCGCTTCCAGGCACCAAGAAGAGAACGAAAACTTAGTTTCCGAAGCTGCAACTGCGTACGCGGACGCTCGACTTCAAGCTCTTTCCCAGATTGACAACTATACCGATGTAGCTAAACACGCTCTCAAGCAGTGGAAAGAAATCGTCAAAGTTTTGAACGACTCCAAGTCTTACGTGGTTCACTCCAACTTGCTGAGCACTCACGTCAGTTCTCGCTCGGCCATGTATCTGACTGTGTTGGCCACGACGGCAGCGGTGGTCTGGCAGATCGTACAGCACATCAACGACTTCAAAGTAGACCGGGGAATCGACGACGGTTTTATAGAGGTGTATTTTGTCACTATCACATCTGTGGTTCTTGTACTCGTTGTTTTTGGCGTGGCTTGTGGCGCAGGAAAAGATCTGACATTCACAGATTGCAATCGTCGGCATTGTGGCGGAGTTTGTTCTCGTAGAACGAGAAAGACGTGCCTGATTCAGTGGTTGTTTACGTTCCTGTTGTCAGTTGTAACTACGATATTGCTGTTTATACCTTGGTACGTTGTTTATAAGGGTACTAAGTGTAGAGTAGGAGGACCGACTACTGCGAACCCACTGTACAGTAGATAATAATAGATATGGCAAACCTTCAAAGAGGGTTTTCAAGTGTAGCGTTTGTACAAATGTACCTACACTCGCTCAGCTACCTATAATAATGTGCGGAATGATAAGGTTGCTGAAGTGTTCTATCGCTGGCTTTTTGTGTCAGAAATAAAAATTAACATAAGGTGAAAAGATGATTCCCCCTAGACCACAAATTCTAAGGATGGGTTAAGTGCACGTAAATCTACAGAACATGTACAGTTAATTAGATTTGTACAGGTTGTGGTAAAAGATTAAAGATATTCACGATCTTTCGTTCACTTTATTTGTATAACGTTCTCTGCTGGACCATATTTTTTTCCATTGATGAGGTGACAACAATTGACCCGTATCCATTGCTTTTCATTTATGGTCAGTGTCGCGTGTTTAGTTTAATCTTACAAGCATATGCAGTTCAGGTGACAGTCGCAGGAGGCGTAATATGGGGGGCAAGTGTCGCGTCCTGCTGTGGCGACGGTTGTGGCGCTCAAACCGATGGACCCGCCTGGTGCCTCTCGACCAATCCAAAACAGCTAACGTCAGCAACACCACGAATATAATCATGACGTATGTGGCATTTTGATGGCGGCGGTCAACTCGGCTGTTCATTGGCTGCTTGGGGATAACTTGATTAACCTCAGTACTCTCCACGTCTGGAACAACAGCGGTATTGTCTCCTCTTGTAAAGCACTTCACGAAACGTTTCTTCATCTTACCGGCGTTTCCCGCCAATTTGGCGAATCTGTGTGTACAGACAGTAGGAACATGAGGGAAAACAATATATTTCATCCGTACCAGGTAAGTAGTGAAATACAGTGAAAGGAATCAAAGACAAGTAGTATAACAAATTCAAACCTTATATGTGTCTGATGCATTATCATAACCTCCAACAGAAAGCACATTTCTCCTAATAAACATATCCTTTTGAAAACGTTTCCTACCTTGTGTTCTTGCATGACTTTTGGCTGACGGTAGCCGTTTCAGGTGCCACCTGCGTGGTTTGTTTGGAAACCCTGCTTCCCATGCTGGCGGTTGGAGACGTCAGACAGGTTTGCTGTTGATGTTTCGGCTTGTTGGAAGCTTTTCAAGGATTTGGGTTTACCATAGTGGTGCTTTACAGAGGCCCCGACTGCATCTGGTAGCTAAATGTAGAACCCTTCTAACGTTACCTTTCTAAGAACGCTAGTTCTACCATGTTCTTTTTTATCCCGGGATCCTTTACGCTTGATAACGCAGAAATGGTCAAATATGTGCTTTCTTTGTTTAGCTTTCTTCTATGTGTACTCACAGCAAAACATATCTGTCCTTGGTTCTGAACACCTCACACACACATCCACACACAGCCAAACATGGCTGTACTTGGTGCTGAAAACCGCCACATACAGGCAAACACACATCCCCACACAGCCAAACATGCCTGTCCTTGGTGCTGAAAACCGCCACATACGGGCAAACACACATCCCCACACAGCCAAACATGCCTGTCCTTGGTGCTGAAAACCGCCACATACGGGCAAACACACATCCCCACACAGCCTAACATGACTGTCCTTGGTGCTGAAAACCGCCACATACGGACAAACACACATCCACACACAGCCAAACATGACTGTCCTTGGTGCTGAAAACCGCAAAATACGGGCAAACACACATCCACACACAGCCTAACATGCCTGTCCTTGGTGCTGAAAACCGCCACATACGGGCAAACACACATCCACAAACAGCCAAACATGCCTGTTAGGGCTGCGTACCTAAACGTAACATCAGGTACAGGTACAGGTACCGGTACAGAGGTTTAGGTACAGGTCCGGACCTGTACCTGTACCTGAACAATTTGACAAATTAACACGTGTTCTTCACTTTTTCAATCATGACACAGAAACAATAATATAGTGTTGACAACTTGTCAGTATCTTTATTCACAACCCTGGATCAGCCACACTCTCGCGATGTCTCGTGAGACTGAGGATCTCAAATCAATCGACGGTGTTTACGTCTTTTCCAGTGCTAATTTTTCGTCTTTGTGGTAGGATTTACCTATCTTTAGTCATATACATGGTGTAAAGCTATTTCGGTATATACTCGTTACTTCATGATCCGGTATTTTGGACCTGTACCGAAACGATTTTTACGGTATTGGACCGGTACAGTGTACCGGTCCGCAGCCCTAATGCCTGTCCTTGGTGCTGAACACCACCCACATACAGGCAAACACACATCCACACACAGACAAACATGCCTGTCCTTGGCGGCGTGTCGGGTTCCTACCAACGCTGCCACAAACATTGCATCGAACATGAGACACTATCAAAACATACATCATAACAGACTTGTCCTTGGTGCTAAACACCAACGCACGCACAGCGATCCGACGCGCGGTCGGGCTGGTACCTCAAGCGATACGGAATACACCGTGTTGTATTCTATATTTATCGGGCGTGTGCTCTAGGTAACCTTACCTTGTTCTGGAACGCTTGATGTTGACCACCTTAGGTCCTACCATTGTAGAGTTCAAATGCTGTAAAAGACTGGCAACATGGACAAGAAAAATAAAGTGAAACCATAAGGTGACAAGAAATTCGTTAGTAGAAACAAAGAATATTCCAAAACTAGAACTCAGGTAATAGAAAAAATGGCTGCAGTAATAATTTTCCTGTACCAAATCCTGCTCTACCCTTCAAGGTTCCAAATGGAATCGTCTTGCCCATATATGGAAGTGGACATGAAGAATCGTAGAACGACCAAACGTCACAATAAATTGCCATCACTTCGCAGGTTTGTGTTTGATAAACAGACCGGCGTTCTTCGTCAGAAATTGAAAACTGCGAATAGCATTTTTTGTGCGTGTAAACGGTACGAATTGCAAAATGCAGGTTGCTGGAAAGAGAATTCTGTGTTTGGCGACTTCTCTGATTGGGAAACGCAGTGTGATGAAGCTAGTGAGGCCGCCAACAGGTGTGTACTAGTACTTGATATACTACACCAATTTTGTCTCTCCTACAGTCAATACTACCCAATACCGCTAGATGTCGTTTTAGGATGGTGGGGGAGTTGACAATGACTTGTGTTTCACAGCACAAAAAGGCGTGGCCCTCCCTGCTCGTCTTTACTGCCAAATATCTCTCACTGAAACAACTTTGTAAAGTAAAAGCCCATCATTGTACAGATGGTTTTGATTCAGTGGGAACATCACATATACACGTACGCAGCCACCATCACATAAAAAAGGAATGAAATACAGTCATGTACATCACTACATCAATGTAAAAGACATTAATTCAGAGCCTTTTCTTGTCTCCTCTTTTCATGTTTATCTGCCATCCACGTTCCGGCATGGCAAAAGACATCTTTGCCCATTTTCGGCATGTTGACCACTGTCAGAAGGCAACAAAATTTTTTTTTTTCCAAATTAGGAGAAAATTAATGCGCGTGCCCATGTCATCCATAAAAATTACTTGCTGTGGCCTTAGTAGACAACACGTAAACTAGATCGACATAGTTAGAGTATCGGCAAGGACAAAATGGGAAAACTGTGCATCTTTCCTACGCAAGCCAGATCAAACGTTAACGTCTTGAACCGTTCGAATTCTGTCAGGTCTGCCTGGTGTACTCCTGAACTCCCTACACCAGGACACCCCCGGCCCACTGACAGGTCCAGCCCGGAACGCGCACTACAACCCCGCGGGGCAGACAGGTCTGAGTCCGGCAGACATCGGGCTCCTGGTCGGCGGTGGGACAATCATTGGACTGGGTCTGTACGAGGTAAGGCACAGTCCTAGTCGTTGGGTAGGGATTTAGGTGGTTTGTTTGACAAATTTATTGATTTATTACCTCCATGAAAAATTGAGGTTAAATTGTTTTTGGCGTGTCTGTCTGTGTACGTTTGTGGCAGGTGGAATATCACCAGATACCAATTATGCAAATACGGACCTAATTTGCATAATTAATCTGAAACTTCTATGACTCCTTAGTGACAAATGATGGGAATTTCATACTTGGGACATGTGCAAGTTAATCAAAAGTTAACATCACGATGCATGTATTGTTGATGTTGAATCATTTGCATGATTAAAGAAGTTTACATTTACATGTGAAGCCCATATTTCATGGAGGTATGAGATCTCAGAACTCTCGTTTCGTTTTAAAACAGCTGGGTAGCGCTATATATACCTATGAAGCTGCTTTCCAATGGGGCCAAGCATACAATTGACAAATAACGTAACATATTTGGAAAAGTAGAATCGACAGTCACGTAGAGCTACTGCAGATGAGAAATACTAGTAAACGAAAGCGCACACACTTGTTGACTTAGAATGGTTTCACCAGACTCAATGAAATCAAGAAAGAAACAAACAAAATTATTCTTACTGGTAATCATCAAATATTCTGTCAATCTGCTGTGACAAAATAAGGCATTTTGATGGTACCCAAAACTGTACTTGTTAAACAATTTAACTTAATAATGCCTACTATATGTAAGTGTATGGTGAATGACAGATAGAATGTAACAATCTATAGGAACCTAGTGGTATTCCTTTATAACCAATGGTATTTGTTGTTGTTTAAACATGTACAATGTATATGTTGTTTTGTATACCAACAACTTTCAAAATCTTTTCATTCGTCTTTACAGAGAGAAATACTGTACGTGTACATCAACAGACATGGTCTAACGTGTACTTCTACCTTCCTCAGACCTACAAGAACCTGTGTACAGCCAAGAGAGCACCAGTTGCACCAGACATAGGTGAAACTGTTGTTGATCCAGAACATGAGTATCAGGCTGCAGCAGGCAGAGGGTTAAACCTCCTCTCCACGACCATGGCTGAACGGTCCCAGGCTGGGGTGTTCCACAGGGCTGTTACTGGGCCCACACTGCTGGAAAACGTGAGTAAAACCAGGGCTCGAAATACTGGGTACATGTGCACCTTAGGGCACCCAAACTTGAGCTGTGCAGCCAATTTTTTTCTGTGGGTGTACTGGTTTACATGTACGTCTGTAATTAAAGATGTTAAATGTATACTAGTATACAGCGTATTCTTATCATCTATTAATATCAGAAAAATAATAAAATCATTGTTATAGTACTTTTTTTTAGAAATGAAACATAGTTTTTGCTGACATTCTACTTATTTTATCTTATATGGTGTACCTAAAATATTTTTTGTTTACCTATAATGTTTTCTGTTCACCTAATTTTTTAGGTTGGGTGCACCAGTGCACCTATTCTTAAAAGTGAATTTCAAGCCCTGAAAACAAAAGCCAAGGATGCCACAGATGGCTCCAAGTCGGATGGCTCTGCAACACCTACTGATGAGGTGCCTGCCTCTGCCCACTGTCCGGCGGAGAAAGGAAAGAAACCCAAGCGCTCGGCACGTGGGAAGGGGGGCATCTTGTACTCGAGCATAGATGAACTTGAGTCGGAGAGCATGTTGCCTTCCGTGCAGCAGCTCGACCTAGTCGTGGAGAAGCACGCTGGCGACCGTCAAACTGCTATCTTGGAGGTGAAAAACACCACAAAGCAGCACAAGTCATCCCCGATGGCATCCAACCTCTCTGCTTCACCCCCTTCTTCAAGTATGTATATCTCCTGTATGTTAGGGACTACATGTACATTGTAGATACAGTTCCCTGTAACCACGTACAATGTGTAGATATGTAAATATCGTACATTTGGTGGTAGACTAGTACAGTGGCTTCCTACTGGGAGACGTAGAGTGGGACGTCCTTATACTACATTTTTGTCCATGTTAGAGAGAGACGCTGGTCTCACAGGGACTGCATTAGTGTCCGCTATGAGGGATAGGACATACTGGAGTAACTTTATCAAGTGTACCTCACCGGATTCATAATCCAGAGGCATGATGATGATGATGATGTACATTTGGTAATGCATCTATAACAGCGACTCCTGTCAGAGTTGCCCTGAGGAAGGTTACAGACGGTCACCATAACGTAGACTGAATAAAAGACTTGGTTGTGTAAAATGAGTCTACTCTTAACCCCTTTCTGTAGACGCAAGGGGCCATGTGTCTCAGGAGGCTGAAGATGAAAGGGACGGTGTCTTCCAGGGCTGTGCTGGCTCCTTGGCAGATGGAGACAACGGTAAGAAGACGGAAAGCCTCCTTATTCTTTATTCAAAACAGTGGTCAGAATGGCAGCAATACATAAAAAAACGAATTATGGACCGCTGAATTGTGCTGACCTTACCTTAGGCCACACCAATTTAATTTCTTGGTTAACGGATTCGCCACTTCATTTTTTCTGATTTGCAAATAAAAATAAAAATTTAGAATCAACTGCAAAATGCTCATATTTTGCCCTGAACAGTTGAAAACAGTCCTTTTCTTACTACTTGTTACAGCCATTCCATCTTTCAATGCAGTGGCATCATTAAAAGTTCAAAATTCATTGTTTACATTTCGAACCAGCCTGGTGTGTTGACTTGATGGCTCCTATCGTACCATTTTCGGCCATAATAGGATGCCTAGGCCTGTTTTTATTTTCATTTATTTTTCGCCCGCCCGCTCCATTATTTTTCTAGAAAAATCCGTTAACCAAGAAATTTAATTGGTGTGGCCTTATAGATAAAAATACAACGTAGGTACGGACAGAACGTACAGATTCACAACAATTACAATATGTACAACACAAAAAGACTAAGTCTGCATTTGACTGTTACATGAGACTGATTGTTTGATGCAGAAACAATCCTTGATGGATCTGGAGACCATGCAGGTGTGAAGAAGGACCAGGAACATCACAAGTCGCCCTCCCAGCACAACAGCGGTGCTGAATGCTCCAGTGAAAGCTGCTGCTGCTGCCATGACTCTGAGGAGGCCACTTCCACTAAGGCTAAGAGGAAGCACCGATATGCTGTGGCTAAGATGGATGACAATGACGACATCCATACGACACATGCTGGCAAGTTTGAAGACCACGAGTCTGACTGTGAATGTGACCTTGATGGGTCCACAGTCAAGGACAACAAGATGGCGGCATCACATGTTGTCATCATTCTGTCCTGATGTAGGATTGTAGACAGACAGTGCAACAATTTTTGCAAAAGTTTTTTTATTCGATGCCAGAATATTAATTAATAGAAGTTTTATTTCAAACACCATTTCTGCAAGACCCTGTAAAAATGATAACACTCTGAAGCAGATTGCAAAAGTACTGTAAACAGAATTGTAACCCACAATGCTAACTACATTGTACATGACTTGAACGCAACTCTAGAAGCCCAGTGAATTTGGTAACATTTATTTCATGACTGTATCCATACATGTTACATCTTTGTTTGTCATGTTTTCTGCTTTCATTTTTTTCAAGTCTTGAACTTCATTCGATCAAAGCAGCTGTGATACATAACTTTTTACCAACACATACATTTTGTACTAATGTACTTTCTACCTTTCCTCTGTGTTACTTTTTATGCATTGTAAGCAAGACTGTAGCTACATGTACATGTACATGTAACATTACATTATAAGCCATCTACATGTTAAGTTGTCAAAGAGTATTTCCTGGACAACATTTTAAAGATAACACAAGGTAAACATCATTCTATAACAATTGCAATTTTATGTACAGATTGTACATATTATGCAGTTCCAAAATATGCATCACATTCTGTAAATTTGCCTTGAAGTTCAAAGACAGCTTTTGTACCATACAACACATTCACATGACTTTGTACATTTACCAGTTATAAAAAAGGAAAAGCCTGAATAAAAAGTCTGAACAGTTCCTACAGTCCACGATGTTGATAATTGAGTCATTGTCCCAATCCAATCAACCACTTTGCAACTCAGATTCGACACAGCCGTGGCCTAGTGCTGCATACCTAAACCCAAATTTACGTTCAGGTACGGATTCAAGTCCAGATGTTTAGGTTCAGTTCCGGACTTGTAAGTCCGGACCTAAACCCATGGCATATACAAAATTGCATGTTGGCAACCTTGCAATGTTGTCTGGGTGAAACTTTGGCTACATAACATGGAGGCCGGGTACTTGACGATGCCCAAAAATGAATGGCAATGTTTTCTTCATTTTGCAACAAAGATTTTGCAATCTACGAAAGGTTTTAGGTGGTTTGGAAAGAAAAGGAGTATGTGAAATGGTCTTTTATGGTAATAAGTCTGGACTCGGTTCTTGACGTTTAGTTTTTTTTGGACTTGAACCTAAACATTCTTAAAAGTCCGGATCCAAGTCCAGTGAACCGGTACACAGCACTACCGTGGCCTGACAAATCCTTTCCCAGTTCCTAGTGGGTCTGCTTGCCCAGATTTTGTTTCATGTGGCTGATTCGAATCTGAGTTTTGTGGGGGTCGATTGGATGGGATGCTCATGCAAAACAACCTTTAACAGTATTCAGCTATTGGAGCTTTAGCACCAGTTCTTCTCACTTGATGAGGAAGCTAGAAAAGAAAGACAATGTTACATGTTAGCAGAGCTGAATATATTTGACAGTAGTACAAACTGGTATAATAAGCTAGGCTGGCCTGAATATAATAAAATTGCATGGCAATCACTTGAGATTTTTATTTGCAATCAGATACAGATTCATGTATACATACATAAAACGTATCAAAGTTATTACAAGGTTCTTTTTAAAAATTTGTCCCCAATACTAAATCAAATCTGTTATTACCTCCGGGGGAGGAGACATCCTTCCGCGGAAGGGTTTTTTGAGAGATTTAGATTTTCATGTTCGCATCCGTTTCTCGCGTTTGGGTGGACGGATTCTTTTGAGACTCGGTATATGTTTTGCTATTGGGCTGCAGATAATGCACATTCTTTTGTTTTTATTGTATATGTGTTTTCGGGCGTAAAAATGGTGCTTTTTGGTGGCCCCAGAACACCCCTTTGAGCTTGAAAGTGGTCGCGACCGTTGACCTTTGGCATGTATTAGGTATTGTCGGTCTCGTCTACGAAGGTGACCCCTTGCACAGAGGGATGTCCGGTCTCGATAAATTCTTTGCTTAAAACCCTAGTCCTGCGGCGCGAAACAATTATTATTGTTGTTGTAAACAACGTATAAAAACATACAATAAAAAGCCCGGAGGTATAAAATCTCAGATTTTACTTGTTCTCAATGATATTGTAAGCTGACAGATAGAAGCCAAACCCAAGAAATCTGGACAAACAACGAACATGTCCAATCTGTACAAACAACGAACATGTCCAATCTGGACAAACAACGAACATGTCCAATCTAGACAAACAACAAACAGAACATGTCTACTTTGGGAAAAAAGGGTAAATGGCAGGTATCAAGAAAGCCCTACCTGTAAGGATATCCATGGTACTTGGACTTGAATATAGACAGCAGTAGGCTGAAGAAGAAGGCTACAATCCCGAGTCCAACCAACGTCACAACTGGTGAGAAAATAGTTACCAAAACCATGTTATTATCATAATATTATTGGACTAGTGTTTAAAACTATGCATTTTCCATGCTGTCCAGATGGTGCATGTTATAAAGGTGCACATTTTCAATTTGTGACATTCAACTAAATCATTTTTTGCTTGATGTACTAAAATACAAAATTTGTATTGTTCTAGAATTATATTTACTATGAAATCAATATCAAAGTCCTGACAAAAAATTGGTGTCAAACTGGTTTCACAATTCCAGTGGAGTTACAGTTAACACTGGTCGCATCAATTTTGGAAAGTCACAAGGCATTTGGAAACTCAAGTAAAAATTGATTTTCAACATTCAAGTTTCACATCAGTGTGTAGCTCTTGGTGTAATGAGCACAGTGATATGAAAATTATTGTTCTGCAGTGTTCATAACTTAAGATATCATTAATAATAAATACAAGCAGACCAGTGGTCTTTTCTAACAGCCCGTCAGGCCTAACAACTAGCCCGCAAGTTTTAATTACAGGACCTTCGGTCTAAAGGCACTTAGACTACAGGTCTAGATCCCCAGACCGCGGCCTGATTTACTCAAAAACCATTCAGACCGTCAGGCTAACTTCAGCCCGCGGTCTGAAAATTCTGGTCAAAGAGGTGCAAAAATCCCAAAACAATGGCATGGAAGGTGTGAATTGATTGATGTTTGCAGACTGTCTGTGCCAATTTCAGCCTGGTGGAGTAAGGATTCAGACCTCACGGACTACATCTCAGCCCGCGGTCTAAACCAAGTGATGTGTAAAACTTCATTCTCAGAGCAGAAAATAAGAAAGGAGAGCATAATCCACACCCATCTGTTAACAGTCTTGTACATATTTGCCGCTTTCAACCTCACTCACTCACTCATTCACTCAGCTTCGCATGATCTTTCAACTAGGCCACAAAAAAGAAAGAAGAGCTTACAAACACGTTCTGTACCAGCTAGGGGTAGAAAATGAAACAATTTTTTCTCATGAGCATCCTGACTGTCATTGAAGTTCAGTTCAGTTCAGTTGAAACATTGGGGAAATTATGTTACAGACAGTTTTGCCGGACAAAATTCTAGTATATCAGCCTAGTATATTAAGCAAGAAGCCTTAATACATGTATTGCAACTTAAACCTGCTTTCAAAGCAATGTAGTTATAAAATCCTCAGTCCATTTCTGTTCAACCATGGTTCAACAGTTCTCAGGTAATTATTCTGATCAAGGAACAATTGTTATGCGGGATGAAACTAAGTCTAGCTATTGTTCTTGACATGCAAATGCCACTGTCCAATTATCAAGTTGGACTATTGTTGAGTTACACGTCGAATTACAGTACCCCTATCTACTCTCCAAGCAGAGGTTTGGGTTTTGGGGGTATAAAACACGCTAAAAATACCCCCAAAACCCAAACCTCTACTTGGAGAGTAACCCCTATCTGGGCAGCTTGTACTGGGTCACCCAGTAGGAGCCTGAAAAGATGTCCGACTATCTTAAAAAATAAAACTAGGATTCTCATCATTAATTTCTTGTCAATAATCTAAATCTAATCTAATCTAATCATAAATACTAAAAAACTAGTTGTGGGATAGAAAGATTTGGCCAAGACATGGTTCTCACCGTGTGAACCCACTGCCATCTGACACTGTCATTCAATGTCATGAGATTTTCTGATAGGATATTTTTTCGGGCTATTGAGCTACCCAGTGCAAGCTACAAAGACCATGTCACCCATGTCAGGGTAGCCCGGCCAGACTCTCTAATTTGATAATTGGACAGGTATGAATGATAACATGCATGGAAATTCATTTTGAAAATTTTCTTCCTGCAGGAAATTTCTGGAAAAACCTACTAAGACATTGTAGATTCCTGCAGATAGAATCCTTCCTAGAAATCTCGCAGGAATTTTTGCAGGAATGACTGTATAATAAATATATACAACTGTTAGGCCACACCAATATAATGTAGTCTCCACCAGACTCCTTTGCAGGCTGAATAAATAGTAGCAATCGGCTAAGGGGAACATCATTGGCCAGAGGAGTTGGCCGGCCATAGAGACACTCATTCACTTGAAGAAGAATCCTGTTCATCTATAAAATTACAACATTACATCAATATTCTCTCAAGGTCACCTTAGTAATTGATCAATGATCATCTGATTTTTTGTATGTCAACTCAATGAATGTTTTTGCTTCCCCTTTCTCCAGTTGTAAACACGTCTAACATTGATCAGAATCTGACTGGAGACTAACTTCAAGTTGTTGCTTGGAAGTTAGAACTTGTTAATTTTATCATAATCACCTCCCCTCCCCTTTTGTCACCCATTTTAAAGAAACTGACTGTGTGTTCTTTGTGTCTAGGGGATAACAAGCCTTTACAATGTAATTCATAGGCTTATTGAGGGATGTCTATTATCACTCTATGGTGACATTTCCTTGGGCAAATGTTGGCCCTCCAGGAGCCAAGGAGCTAGCCTGGCAGCAGTCTGGTACCCATGTAACAGTGGGGGGGTTATAGGCGCTACAGCTCGCCCCTGTTTCCTACACCCAGGCTACCTGGTCTGCTATCATACATGTACATCCTGCGCTGTACAAGCATTTTACGTTCTGTTCCTAAATTTTTGGGAAATATTCAAACTGAATGAACAGCTCTTTTCATATCTATTTGAGATGTTTCACAAATATTGTAACAATTAGAAAATTTTCTATTTTTTTTTAATTATACTTTTGAAATTATCTAGAAACATGGTGGTTTTTTTATTTCGAAATGGTTACAATTTGTAATGTGGAATATAGCAATATAGAATTGACTCTAGGCCTTGGGCAAGCACTTCCAATTAATTGTAATTTAGACCAAGGACATTATACACAGTGTGTATAATGTCCTTGTTTAGACTTATTACAAATCCTGTAAAGATTCTCATCATTAATTTTTTGTTAATAATCTAAATCTAATCTAATCATCATAATGATACTACAAACTAGTTGTGGGATAGAAAGATTTGGCCAAGACATGGTTCTCACAGTGTGAACCCAGGCCATCTGACACTGTCATTCAATGTCATGAGATTTTCTGATAGGATATTTTTTCGGGCTATTGAGCTACCCAGTGCAAGCTACAAAGACCATGTCACCCGTGTCAGGGTAGCCCGACCAGACTCTCTAATTTGATAATTGGACAGTGGTCATTTGCATGCCTGGAACAATAGGTGACCTGAGGTATGACCCGCATAACAAAGGTGCACTGGAACAGAATAATTACAAAAGAAAATGTAACAATAATTTCCTAAAGCATTGTATTTGTACAACTCCTTGCACTGAAAGCAAGTTCATGTTGCAAATTGAGGATCCTTGCTTTTTATGTTTTCAGTGTACATCGGCTGAGGCTTATACATGGCAGGATTATGGCACTAAAACTCCAAATATTTTCCTTTTAATTATAAATGTTTCCATGGAGTTATTGTTTATCTGTTAACCATGTCCATTCATCTTGTTTTGTTGTGACCTGTACTTAGCCAAGTGTGGCAGAAATGTGCAATGAAGGTCTTCATTCTTAAAAAAAAAAAAAAATTTCTACCCCCATGATGTTTCAAAGGGATTTTGGCAGGGGAGTTGCCATAGTAGGACAGATTGGACTATACCTGCCAAACTGAAACTGTAAGTGACCATAAAGTGTCCTCAAAAGTTGGCTTCCAACACCACAACCAATCAGGTCTAATATGAAGTGTTCTTGCTGAGACAAGGGTCTTTTATGATGCTATCTTTTTAGCAATGTTACACCCCGCCCAGGTATCAGCCCAGGTAGCACAACAGGAGCCAAATCCACCTCCTCAAACAGAAAATTTTCAAAATGAATATTCATGAAACTAATTGAAAGTTATCATGATCATTCATACCAGTACATCATACTTGTCAATAATATGCAATCACTTATTTTAAATGCTTTGATATTGAAAATATTAGCTGAAAATGTGAAGGGTGTTTATTAATATGAAGTGACAAACTATGTGTAAACTATCATCAATCTGGAAGCATATTTTTGTTTCCCACTTTCTGTTTGGTGTTTAAAGTCTGAAGGTTCTCTATCATAAGGCCTAATCATCAGCCCAGCCTGTCCACAGACCGACAGGCCTGTTCAGGCCCGCGGGCTAACCATTGAGCCCAGACCTCTCATGAATTTATCACAAACTTGTTAATTACACAGGTGTGAAGATGTGAATTCTCATTAATTCAGTGGTTTTCATGGGGTGTTCATGAGGCTAATTGGATGCGGTCTGGATGCGGGGTGGCTAACTCAGACCGCGGGCTAAAGTTTAGGACTGCCAGGCTAAGCTGTTGAGCCTGGCGGTGTGTATTCGAGACCACCAGGCTTGCAATTTTTAAAGTCAAATATCTTGATAAATTTATACATTATGACCATAAAAAAGCAACCTGGTACTGAAGATAGCATGATCTTTCCAATGGTATGCAAAAGTTCACTGTACATCCAGGAATAACAAAGTTGAAAATCAGGGGTTTCAACATAGCTGTCTCGAAATTCGGAAAGTGACATTCCAAAATTGAGGTGACCAGTGTTAGTTTATGTATAGTGTTGTGCAAGACTAATACTCACTTCTACGTTTGCCCACATCTCCCTTGGACACTGCAGTCTCATGGAGCAGCACCATCCCAAATGTCACAGCAGCATCTAACAAACACTGGTTAAGGACACTGATATCATCCACATGATGTAACACAACACCAGTTACCATGGTGACAGACATTTGGTTCAGGTCATTGACCTTATTTGTTTGGAATGAAAGAAGAAGAAACAGAGCAAAAGCAATATGTTTTCCCGTGGTAAGCATAATACGGGTACAAATACTTGGCAGACATGCAGCCTCTCTCTCATTGGTCAAAACCACTACACAATGTAATTGCCAGGCTACCATTGGTTCAACTGCTAATTGTGATGGACAGTCAGGATCAGTCCACTCAGGCCAGCGACACCTATATTTGGTAAACCATAAGGATACGGAGCAGGATCACAATGTGGGTTTCAGCTATGAACTGGGCCTGGCTGCTGCCATGGATATAATGCTGTGGAAAAACACAAAGACTTACAATGTGAACTGTGTTTCTAATAACTTTTAAGATTCAAGCAAAGATGTGTATTAGAGACTTTTTTTTTATTATTCATCAAAACATGAAAACATAACAAGGACAGTATGACGCTGCACTCGAGTTTACAACCTATATTAACAGCGCCACACAACAAAAATTAAAATTAACATTTAGATACACAAAGTTGACATGTCTGTGCGCCGTAGTCCCACCACCCCAAGACATTAACAATGTTAAATCAAATTAAATGCTAAAAAAGACTATTTGAAAGATAAGATTACGAGGTAACCTCCTATATCTCATTGGCGGAAAAACATCTGCCAATCATGCAGAGCTAGGTGGAGAATTTAGGCCCATTAACACGTACGTAGTATTTGGACTTCTATATCTAATTGACTGTTAGAAACAGTCAAGCAGAGCTAGAAGCGCTTGGTATCTCCAATGTAAATCTGAGTGAGTTGCATCGTTTTAAAGTTGTACATAGAGGGTAGCAATGTGGAGCCTCTAAGAATAAAATGCAGTTTAGCATTATTATCTGACATATTATTAGGTTGACAAGATGACCGAGTAAATCTGCAAGATTGCCAAAAAGTTCCGATCTCTGATGATTGTATTAGAGACTTGCAGTCCACAACTCTGTTGTTACTGTCAGAAAAGAGTTACGTTAATGAGTTACTACTTAACAAACTTAAGGTTTTCTTACCGAAGGAAATGTGAAAAAGTGAAAGAATACTGGTTCTCACCACTTGTCCAGTCTGAGGGTTCTTGTGAGCGTACGGAGGACCTCGGATGTGGTTCCACATCTGGCCAGACGTCATGGCAAACACAATGCACTGGAGGGGAGAGGGTTGCACATGTACAAAATGTAAGTCTTAAACTCTATTCAGTTCCAATATTACAATGAGCAGAACTTATATAATGTATACCATCAGAGAATACCATCAGTAGATGACATACATTTGAAAAAGGGATGCATACATGTACAGTACCGTTCCCATTATACATTTTTTTTTGTAGTTAACCAGTTAGTTTTCATTATTAAATCTGTACACCAAGACCAAGTGCATACTGCAGTTTTAGTTCACTGAACAGCAGGAAGACACAGATGCTATGTACAGTATTTACCGGTTCATTATACTGTAGAATCTGAAATTTCCCTAGCTGAAGCACAATGAACAGTGAAAAGGACTATAACAGTTACTGTTTCCAGCAGAGTGCATGTCGGGCGACAGCCGGGATTCGAACTCCAAACTTCTTGATCCAGAAGCAAGGTTGCTAACCACTGGACTAAGCATGCTACATTTTGTACTCTGTCAGGATTGAATCAAAGTTTACTTAATCATACCAGAGCGCCGATCCCCCAGGATGTCTTGTTGTACAGGAACTCCAGGTTGTTCCTGCGCAGGTACAGCAGGCCACCAATCAGGGTGAAGAGCAGGCCCAGCGCGATGCTGCCGGAATAGTTGGGCGGGCGGAACACACGAATCTGACAAACAAACAACAGCTAATTTGTAAACAAAATTTTGATTCAGGGTCAGTCTGTGTATACATGTCTTTTCTTTCCTTACCATTCAACAGTTACACTATGTATTGTAAACATATTGCACACAAAAATTTAGCTTAATATTAGCTAATAAATTTATCATTCTGTCCATCTACTACTTTCCTTCAGTTATAATTATTCAGGTCTATCTAATGCCAGTACAGATCGCGGGATAAGCATCATCGGGATTCGGGATTTTGCGGGAGATTCCGCGGGAGTTTGCGGGATATCACGCGGGAGACTGCGGGATATCCCGCGGGAGTTTGCGGGATATCACGCGGGAGATTCGCGGGATATCCCGCGGTATTCTTTCGGGAGGCCTGTCGTGTCCCGCGTACCGCGTAGCGAAAAAACTTGGTGCGAGACCCCGAAGTCTGCCGCGGCTCGGAACGGCGATGGCGGCGTGTCAAATGTTTATTTTTACGTCCTGCCGGGCGATCTGTGCCGGGCCGATGGAGTCTGACGCCAGTCAACTTTGCTACAATTTTGCTACAATTTTGATGGTGTTGAAGCATAGGAATGTACGAAAATAATGTGTATAAGGTGTTTCTCACGCGGTCATAGTTATTATAAAACTGCTACTTTTTTTTCAAAGCTATTGTTCAGCGCAAACTTTAACAAACTACCGTGAATGAATACAATGTAACGTGTAGTAATCCCTCCGTCTCCGGTAAATTCGGCAAGATTGTTACCAAGAAATAAAAATTATGAGGCGTACCGGCAGTAGTTTGTGGTTGTGTTTCATAATCTTGTAGCTGTTGTCTTCTCATGGGTAGCTTGCGTCAAGAGGTCTCCGTATTAGTATTAAGAATTGCGACAATTAAAAGTTTGCCCATCAAAATCCCGGGGCGTGCGTCTCCCCCCTCCCCAAAAAACTCTTGCATCAACAACGACCATGTCTTTGCTATCACCCTGAAAGCAAGTACTTCCACGCGGCTGGCAAAGTTTCTTTCGGTAGGAAAACATTCTACTTCTGTCAGCTACGGGGTCAGCCAACTAGATGAAAACGGAGTCGATTTTTAACAGAACAACGCTATAACGTAGCGCACGTCCAAGACACGGGAGAACCCGAAAAATAAATAAACACGGGAGAACCCGAACTAAACGTGTTTATGCAAAATTTGATGCAAATTAATTCGTTCTCAGACCATAAAACTTGAAATTCACTCGGTACACTCCGTGGAACTAGCCTCCTCACATGTGAAAAACGTTGTTTTGGGATGAAATTGGGATATAAGAAAATTACAATGCCGCATGCCGGCCGTGCAGGGCGGAAAAAGAAGCTACAATCCGACGTACGTATAACAATCGTCAGGCGGTTTTTCTTTGGGGCGGCGCATCTGACTAGGGCTGCGGACCGGTACACTGTACCGGTCCAATACCGTAAAAATCGTTTCGGTACAGGTCCAAAATACCGGATCATGAAGTAACGAGTATATACCGAAATAGCTAGTTTACACCATGTATATGACTAAAGATAGGTAAATCCTACCACAAAGACGAAAAATTAGTACTGGAAAAGACGTAAACACCGTCGATTGATTTGAGATCCTCAGTCTCTCGAGACATCGCGAGAGTGTGGCTGATCCAGGGTTGTGATTGGTCAACAAACTCAAATCAGGTCAGAGGTCAGTCATTTTCCCTTCCCTCCAACACTTTATTATGTTTCTGTGTCATGATTGAAAAAGTGAAGAACACGTGTTAATTTGTCAAATTGTTCAGGTACAGGTACAGGTCCGGACCTGTACCTAAACCTCTGTACCAGTACCTGTACCTGTACCTGATGTTACGTTTAGGTACGCAGCCCTACATCTGACTCAACTCTTTGAATTCGCGGCCCGGCTGGTGGGCGGGTCCCCATCTGCGCGCTGTGATTGGCGCGCCAGAACGCCACGTGGTCAGGCGGCGCCGGGGAGTCTGCCAGCGCCGCTGCTGGCGACGTGCGGTTTCTATGGCGACGCGGCGTGGGAACGCCCGGCCCAACACTGGGGGTCTGCATGCCCTTTTTCGTAAGGCGTAATCAGGCGTTTTTTAATTCATTGTCTTCGTAAACCGTAGGCAACCTTCCCTAAAATCAACGTAATTCGTAATCAGTACATTAGCCGCAAAGCGTAAAGTCGTAATCAGCTCTGAAACTTGAACTTTATAGCGAAAATTTTGCGTAATTCGTAATCACTAACCCCCATGCAGGCCCTGAACACTGCGTGGCGCACGAAATGTATCAAAGTTTGAGGCGTAAAGAACCCTTGAATTATGCTTCGCCCCCTTGTTTTACACAATGTCTAATCTCTCTTCCGTAACTCCATACGTCAACCTCCCCTATCTAGGAGAAAAATAAAGAACTCGAGTGGCGATTTGGCACGTCGATGCGTTAGATTTTTTAAAAATTATATCTGAAATAGCGCGGGTCGGGTGACATCAAAATAAAGCCGTCCACGTCGCAAGGCCGGACACAAAACTTGTTCAAGAAGGTTGTATTACTTTGTTATCGTTCTATATCTTATTAAGCCACCAGATTTTCGATATTAAAAAAAAGAAATGTTTGGTTAAAAATACTATTTGCTCTACTGTTATTTGCATGCATTGAAAACATACTAAAACATGCACGCATCGTCTGTCTGCGTAAAAATCTGTAGTCAACGCGGTTCAACTTCAAGTAACAGCGGCGCCGGCCCTTCGGAAACCTAAAGTCTCACACCGAAGATCTAAAATCCTTTAGACACTGAACAAGACTATTTCTTACGAGGGGTGAAGGAAGCCATGTACATCAGGGCCCATCACCCTACATTGAACCGCGACGGGGGCCGACTTCGTCTACCAGATACCTTTGACCCAGTGTTGACGTCACACTTCAAAGAAGCCACGTGACAAGCTTCACTGGGTCAGTCTACTGAGGAAGACCAGAGTGACTGGTCAAAAGCTCTAGGTGAGAAAATTTTTTGTGTTGGACCAAAAGTTTTAACTTTAAGCCAGTAATTCTGGTTTCCTTACATGTACATCAGTCCTCTCGTTGATCCACTTGGCAATGGACTCAGCTGCAAATCCAGTTCTGAAAATAAGAAGAAAAACATAATGAAAACCAGTACCAGTACTGTTCAGTTGACATTGTAATTAATAATAAAAAAGTGACATGCAATATAAATATAGTTCTCTCTATTGTAGAACCATCCAGACATCTTTGCATCTAATTTCATATATGATACTTTATACAAAAATAACTAGAAAGGTAACATTTGCAAAGGAAATGCATAGTATGGTCTGGTCTGTTAATTCTTACCTAAACACATTCATATACTAGTACTAGTATATGGTGACAGGAGTCTAAATCCCTCCTACTATAAAATTGCAACATGATGTAATCCAACACCAGTTACCATGGTGACAGACATTTGGTTCAGGTCATTGACCTTATTTGTTTGGAGAAGAAGAAGAGGAAGAGCAAACAATATATTTTCCTTCTCCACATAATTTTTTTTTACAATATTGTATCACTTCAACCAGATATAATAACAAGGGTGAGTATAAAGATAGAAAGCCTGCTTACCTCTGGATGTCAAATGTATCTCCCTTCTTAGGCTTGCCCTTGCCGGGGAAATGCATGAAGCTGGGAGCTGAGTTCAGCTTCAACTGTAAAAAAAAAAGAGAAAAGATGGCTGAAAAATGTTTATCTACATGTATTACAAGGTAACACAGAAGACCGTTTTGAACATAATTATGATATGACCTTTAAGAGTAGAAAAATTGATATGTTACTTTAAATCACTTTATGAAGTTTATCAAAATTTCGCAGTCTGAGAAAAATGGCCATGTTTGCCGATCTACTAGTATACACTGTAAGAAATAAATTTGGGGTAGAGGAGTGAGCGTGAAAAATGTGAATATAAAAGTACCACGAATATAAAGTGATTTACAATAATACTTTCAATTTGAAGCATCATCTTTGTGCCTTAGGCCACACCAATTTTATTTCTTGGTTAACGGATTTTTCTAGAAAAATAATGGAGCGGGCGGGCGAAAAAATAAAAAAATAAAAAAATAAAAACAGGCCTAGGCATCCTATTATTATATTATATGGCCCAAAATGGTACGATAGGAGCCATGAAGTCAACACACCAGGCTGGTTCAAAATTTAAACAATGAATTTTGAACTTTTAATGATACCATTGCATTAAAAGATGGAATAACTGTAACAACCAGAAAGAAAAGGACTGCTTTCAACTGTTCAGGGCAAAATATGAGCATTTTGCAGTTGATTCTGAATTTTCATTTTTTTTTTTTTTGCAAATCAGAAAAAAATGAAGCGGGCGAGTCCGTTAACCAAGAAATTAAATTGGTGTGGCCTTATGGCCCAATTGTATGCAGTTCTCAGATTCTCTGCTAGAGGGCAGTTTTGACACATGTGTGCATATAGTACTTACAGTGCTGAAGACATCTGCACCCTCATCATAGTCCACGCTGGCGAAGAACAGCTTGTTGGAGAAGGAGGGAGAGTAGCGCCAGGAGTTGGCCACGATCTGGAACTCATCATTAGCTTGTCTGTAATGTAACAACATGATGCATGTGGGTTTTGTGTTTTTCTGATGGACAATAACAACATTTGACAGAAGTTGGTGTTACAAAACTTACATTGTACAGCATCCAATACGATTTCAGAGCCGCAAAACTGAAAATATTCTGAATAAGGCAATCTTTGTAATATTGACACATACTGCTTCATATTAGCACATTTGAGTCAGTATTTCATACTTTGGGCTTTTAAAACTGCAGAAACAAGCCCCAAGATGAGTCCTTTATTTTCTGGGAGGTACCCTAAAAATCAGCCATGGGTCCTTCCAGTAACCATTTTCTGTGAGAAAAATTTTGAAAATTTTTGTTCCATGAGAATCAATATATATTGGGATTGTGTGGCTTCAACTCAGTGTGTAGATAAGTGACTAGAATATAGACTTTATCAAGGTTTGGCACAGGTGAAGTACATGTATGTTCTGCCGACGTGCTCCTATTGTGTTTAGACAAAAGAAAGCCTTACCTGCACACAGTACACTGTCTCTGTGGCTGAAGCGCCGTCAGCATCAGGATCACGGAGTAGTTCCTCGGGGCGGCGCGTACGTACTGACGGAACTTGTCGCCGTTCATCCGAATCACCGGCCGCTTGGAGCTCCACTCCATCAGCTGCTGCACCTTGTCTCCCAAGGCATTCTGGGAAGGGTAGGGAAAGTTTCTTTGCTCATGCTCATAGACCCACTCAAACTCTTCGTCTTCTTCCTTGTTTGTTTATTTGTTTGGGGATTAGAGAGAGTGATGGGCGAAAGAGGAGACAAAGGAGAAGAGAAAGAAAGAAAGATCAAGAAAGAAAAGGTGAGGAACAGAATTTCAGGTGCAAATCACAAAATGAATTGTGACAGAATATGCATGGTCATCCAACTTTTGTGGAACATGCAATGCAACTACATGACGAAAATAATTTTTCTGCAAACAGCAAAATATTAATGTAACTCATTGAAAATTAGTGTGTGCAATAATCTATATTTCTAATCATGACTGTCATTATGGCCTAAATGCTTTTTTTTTCATTCAGAGATGTATTATTATGGACAGGAACATAATGACACCTCACTTTTTAAGTTGGAATTCCACTTTCTCATTTCAACGAGCTTCAATTAAAGTTATAAAGTTTAAGCTTTGTTGCAACACAAAATAACTCACATTTTGATATTTGTAGAAGAAAATTATTTTTCTGGAAACAGCCCAAAATTAATTGCTACATACTAATTGTACTACATAATGTGAAAAAAAATGAACATACAAAAACAAAGAGATACATTATTATGGACAATTTTTATTAATTAATTTCTCAGTCAAGTCCTACAAGACAAGTGAAAAAACAATTTTCTAAGTCATGGACTAAGGAATATGTTGCACCTGACAGCCATAGGCACACCTGAACATGTACTGAATATAGCAGATACAAGTTGTTAATAAAATTTAAAGATGATATCATTACACAACATTTAAAATATTAGATTTCTATGATAATAAATATATTGTACAATGACAATACATCTGTAGGCAGCTAAGGGTCTAAGGATGATCCACTATACAGAGATGTGCTGTTCTCACTCTCATTCTGTCTGTGAGCTGTGTTGTACAGCCTGTGAGATGTGCTGTTCTCACTCTCATTCTGTCCATGAGCTGTGTTGTACAGCCTGTGAGATGTGCTGTTCTCACTCTCATTCTGACCTGTGTTGTACACTTACAGCCTGTGAGATGTGCTGTCCTCAGCAACCAGTGTGCTGTGAGCCACTCCTGTACAGCGCCCCACTGACACTTGGGACCTCCTTCCCCTCGTCCATTCCATAAGGACCCCTGTCGTCTCTTGATGACGGACAGCCTCTTTCGTAGTTTGGCTTGATGTTGGCCTCTTTTGGCAGTGACTGGCCCCTTGGTTGTGTGACGTTTGTTGTCCGTTGGTTAGTGACATTTGTCAGTGACGTATAACCTGCCAGTGTATGGCCTCGTGGCAGTGACTGGCCCCTTGGTTGTGTGACGTTTGCTGTCCGTTGGTTAGTGACATTTGTCAGTGACATGTAACCTGCTAGTGTATGGCTTCTTGGCAGTGACTGGCCCCTTGGTTGGGTGACTGGTTGCGTGACGTTTGTTGTCAGTTGCAGCCCTGGGTCTTCATTGTGGGTCACTGCGTATGGCTGAAGCTGTGGCCCTGGGTCTTCATCGTGGGTTACTGCGTATGGCTGAAGCTGTGGCCCTGGGTCTTCATCGTGGGTCACTGCGTATGGCTGAAGCTGTGGCCCTGGGTCTTTAATGTGGGTCACTGCGTATGGCTGGAGCTGTGGCCCTGGGTCTTTATCATGGGTCACTGTGTATGGCTGAAGCTGTGGCCCTGGGTCTTCATCGTGGGTCACGGAATACGGCTGAAGCTGAGGCCCTGGGTCTTCATCGTGGGTCACGGAATACGGCTGAAGCTGAGGCCCTGGGTCTTCATTAATGAGGGTCGTTGCATACGGCGCAAGCTTGCCGTTTTTCCCTTCCCAGACACATCCATGTATGACACAGCGTACGGCTCAATGTCATTGGTGTCTGGTTCCGTTGGCTGGATGTCATCATTGTCTGGTTCCTTTGGTTGGATATTAGCAAAGGAAGTTGTTGCGTAAGGCGCAAGCTTGCCGTTTTTCCCTTTCCCAGACACATCCATGTATGACACCGCGTATGGCTCAATGTCATCGTTGTCTTCAACTGGCTGGATGTCATCGTTGTCTGGTTCTTTTGGCTTGATGTTAGCAAATGAAGTTGTTGCGTACGGCGCAAGCTTGCCGTTTTTTCCCTTCCCCGACACATCCATGTATGACACAGCGTACGGCTCAATGTCATTGTTGCCCTCTGATGTCTGGTCCTCAACAGGACTCGGTCGTTCGCCTGTGACTGAGTCTCTGTCCGAAGGGGTGGAGTTTCCATCTGTTTCAGCAGGAGCGTTGTGAGGGGCCAGACCTGTGTCGTGACAACGTTCGTACAAGCAGACGACAACCACCCATGCCAACACCATGAGGAGGGGCACAGCAACAGCCAGGATGACGGCATTGACGTGGTAACTGTCATCTTCCTCGGGGAGGATTGGGCCAAAACTTGGACGAGTGACAATGTCAGTCCCGGTTGTGGCCTGGTACTCGGTTGTGGCGTTTGTGCATGGCATTTCTGTGGGAATGGTGTCATTGTACAGATGACTGGTGTGGTGGGTATGCGGACCTGTTGTGGTGGGCTTTTCGTCACATCTCCCCAATCTGATGTCCTTCCTCACGGTGGCAAGCAGAATTCCGCTCAGGTTGGCAGGCGACGCACACCTCAGGTAGTCACGGCCAAAGATGTGATCCAACTCTGGCAGATGACAGATGAACCAGGTGAGATTCGCGTCACACTTCAGCTTGTTTTTTTCGAGGAAAAGCCACAGGGCCTGGTTGTGGCTCAGACGCAGGACTTGGCTGTCGATCATGGTGATGTGGTTTCTGCTAAGCTGTGCTAACTTCAGTGCCGTAAGCGGCAGGAGTGCGTCGACGGGCACGGAGCGCAGGCGGTTCTCGTTCAACTTCAACCTCTCAAGGAGAGGTAGGCCTCGGAATGCATGCTGGGATATGACGGAAATGGTGTTCCTATGAAGGTTCAGGTTTGTTACCCTCTCAAGCCCAAGGAAGGTATCGGGTTCTAAAGATAAACAAAACAGAATATTGTAAGTTTGCAGGGATTTTTTTGTAGCATGGTGATTATCAAGATAATATCATTAAGTTATTATTATATGTACTAATCTGGTATTATACAAAGGTACTTGTACAGACTCACATTGTTTATAATGATTTTATTCCTTTTTGTATCTGCCTAATATGTATAATTCAACAACTTGACTGCACTATGTACAAGTGGCTGCAATTTATTTTAAATCTAGTACATATAATGTTAATATGAATAGAAACAATAAAAAAACAATTTCGAAGATGGTGGCAACAAACACTACATAAATTTGTACCAGATCGATCTGAATAGAATGATTATTAGCTGATTGAATCAATCTGGTCAACTTTACCCCAGTGGTGGGAACATTCCCACATTTTGTACGATCCTCCTAGCCAGGTGGATTGTAGCTGAGCCAGCACGTCGGCAGAACGTACTGCACCTGCGCGAAACCCGTAATGTATTTTATGTCCTACCTGGGCCGCGATTACGTTCGATACGGGTGTTCCGGCCCGTGTGATAACTATCCGTACGGCCTGGGGGTTCTAAACCCGTACGGCCCGGGCCTTCCAAATGTTCCATAGAAAGATTCGAACGCGTTTCGCCCTAACCGTGTGCACCGCTTTCGAAAATTCGAATACAAACTTTGGACGTTTGAATTGATGTTGTTGCGTTTTAGTGGGCTTATGGACGCCAAATTTTCGCTCATTTTGCATTGAAAGGCGTGTTTTCTTGGGTGGGTATGACATAAATAAAATACAACACGGTGTATTCCGCATCACCCTCGGTCCCAGCCCTCCCGCGGATCGGATCTCCCTCCGGCCTTCGGCCGTCGGGCGATCCGACGCGCGGTCGGGCTGGTACCTCGGGCGATACGGAATACACCGTGTTGTATTCTATATGTACATACATGTAGCATTTCGGCAGAATGTCTCATATAAGGTTGTATTCGCTCATATAAGGTTAGCATTTCGACAGTAGTTTCCAAATGTTATGTAGGAAAGAATATCCTCTGCAACAGGCAAAATTCTGATGCAACGTTGACCAAAAACCCAACGAAAAACGCAAAAATACGGGGTTCTGCGCAGGCGCAGTACGTTCTGCTGACGTGCTAGCTGAGCCAGATATTGGTGGCAGATTGATTTAGTTAGCCTATTTGGCTCGATCCAGTACAAATTTATCCTACAACTGTAGTGGGGAAGGGGCCTAATAACAATACATGTAGATCATTGTATCAGTTATTTTACACATAGGTTATAATCTGCTGTTTCTAAATCAGACATCTGATTCAGTGATGTCATTTAGGATTCATAATAATTATAATATTATACATGTACATAAACACTTGCGTAACAAAATAAAATATCAGGAGCCCAAAATACGCAATTTTGTCAACATACCAAGACTGGAGATACGGTTGTCGCTGAGGGAAAGGTCTTTCACCAATGTCAGACCTTGGAAAGCCCCTGGCTGCACCGTGGACACGTTGGACTCCCGGATCCAAAGGTACTGAACTCCTAGGCCGTTGGGGAAAGACCGCTCCGAAATGGTAGAGGAACGGAGATGCTTGATGAAGATCGATCGCGTGGCTTTGACAAAGCCAGTTGGTATGGCATCAAGACATGCAGGGAAGCTGTACGTTCCTCCGTACCCAATCCAGCTGCAGGGGGAACCCGCCCAGTTTTTATCTGGACAGCGACAGATGACTCTTTTATACATATGTGGGGTTTGGGAGCTACAGCTGTCAGGGCACTGTAAAGCTGGCGCCGACACGAGCAGTAGCTGATTAGAAACCAGGAGTAGGAGGTACAGCAGTGCCTTGTTTTGCGCCATGGTGGTCACTGACTTCTGCTGCAACACACACTGAGCCTTAGATGTTTATGTTCCAGATATAATGTCCACACACACATTTGCTTGAATATACATTATTTTTCATGTTTTACAATTAAGCTTATATTAAATACTTAAGTCTGACCCACATGCATTTCAATGGGATTAGAGTCCTTGGGCGGGAAATTACCGATACACACCGCTGGAACAGCGGAAGGAACGTTGATCTAGCCTGCATTTTACCATATTGTAACGTTTAAAACGTTTTAATGATCACCGGCGCATCAATTAGATCGACATTTCTTTTGTCACTGTTGCCCAGGCAAGCGTTTCTATAGTTTGTCAACTTTGTTTTGCTGTTTTTCTCTGTTTGTTTACTTATTTTACCACCGAATATGCAATCCTAGATGATCTGAAGTTATAAATGCCCCGGTGGCGCCGACATGAGCAGTAGCTGATTGGAAACCAGGAGTAGGAAGTACAGCAGTGCCTTGTTTTGTGCCATGGTGGTCACAGATTTCTGCTGAAACACGCACCGAGCCTTAGATGTTTATGTTCCGGATATAATGTCCACACACACATTTGCCTGAATATACATTTTCATGTTTTACAATTAAGCTTATATTAAATACTTAAGTCTGACCCACTTTTATTGCATTTCAATGGGATTAGAGTCCTTGGGTCTCAGAAATGCCCACCTGCAGTCTGCATTTTGCAGATCAGAGACATTTTGCTATTGTAGAAGATTAGAAGAAAAAATGAGGAAATACAGAATATGAAAGGTAACATCTGACTGACTGAAAGTGAAGAAAATTTACAAAATGTAGAAAACATTTAAGGTTTGATTTATAGGTAGCACAATAACATAAGTATGTAGATATGTGTACCATAACATGGTGTGTAGTAGTTACATGGCTAAAGTACAAATTGTAAATAAATTATAGTTTCTCGTACACATCAATACAACTTCACTGTACAAGGTTAGATTCTTAAGGCCACACCAATTTAATTTGTTGGTTCTCGGATTCGCCTCTTCGTTTTTTTCTGATTTGCAAAAAAAAAAAATTTGATTCTGGTCCTGAATCAACTGAAAAATGATGTTTTGCCCCCCAACAGTTGAGGAAAGTCCTTTTCTTCCTAGTTGTTACAGTTTTCCCATCTATCATTGCAGTGGTTTGATTAAAAGTTCAAAATTCAATGTTTAAATTTTAACCCAGCCTTTTGTGTTGACTTCATGGCTCATTTTGTAGCATTTAAGCCTATAATACTTTTAGGATGCCTAGACCTGTTTTTAGTTTTATTTTTTTTCGCCCTGTCGCTTCATATTTTTTCTGAAAAAATCCGAGAACCAACAAATAATTAAATTGATGTGGCCTAAAGCAACAATTTTCTTTTATGTCTTGTCTTTTTTCCTATCATGATGTCAAAATAAATGGAATTTTAGACAACAAATGGAAGACAGATTTCTTTACATTTCTTGTTTCTGATGATAAGAAAAGACCCTGTTGAAAAGACTTGAAATTCTAGATGTTTGCGCGATCATTGACCCATAGTACGTACAGGTCACGGAGTAGGGCTCAAAATATGCATATGTCAGACGTGACTCAGCAGGGAGGAAAGACTTGCAGAGCTACACTGAAGGTATGTACCAGAAAATCTTAATTTGATGTCTTAATTAGATCATAGAACCCCAAACTTTTTTGCCCTGCAGTGGCATAGTTACTTCCGCATTCGTTGCGTTTCGCTGCGGTTGCGTTTCGCTGCGGTGTGATGGGTTGCACGAGAAATACCCCCAAATCGTACCTATACAGGGTGCTATATACATGGTACTGTATGTGCAGAACGACATATGCTGTGCTCAGCAGGACAAGAAATTTACTTTAAATCATACAGCTGCTAATAGTATTGTTCTGTACCACTGCTCCTGAGTGTACAAGTTACTACAACTGTATAATATCTTTACTAGTGAGTGACAATTGTACAGTTATGTGAGTTTTTTTCAGTCACTTCAAGCAGCTGCAGAGTCTCAAGACTGAGCTGAACATGTTGTATTGACATGTGAATGCAGGGCTCGAAATTAAAGGTGGTCTAGTGGCTACCGACCACTAAAACTTAGGCTGGAACAACAAAACTAAGTACTAGTAAAAGCACACTTTGGGACTGTTTTTTGGGGACAATAGAAAAATTATCAACATCAGTATGTCAGCCTTTCTTTTGTTTCGGCTTTGGATCCGAAAAAGTCCGCCCGAATTTCCAGTGTCAACTCTGCAATAATAGTGCGCCTGGGAGTGAACATAAGCAAAATAAAGTTGCCTTCAAGTTGAAGTCATACAATACTTCCCCAAAAAACAGGTTGGGACAGTTCATCCAGTCACTTCGGGACAATTGAAATTTATTTTTGGGACAGTGCTGCGACAATAGGAAGAAATGTCGAGGCCTGTGAATGTATAGGAATGTGTGCCATTGTGTACATCTGATGTTTGCCCGAAGGAAAAAAAAAAGCTTTGCTAGAACTTAGAAGAATGTTGCTGGCTTGTTAGGTAGGTTGTTATAATACCAAATTGCATTTTGTACTTGCTTACTAGTTTACTTACTAGTAGCAAACTGTTTGCTGGTTGGTTGTGCTAAAACTTAATCTGAAAGACATGACTGTTCAAGTGTTGTCTGAATTGACCTACATTTGGAAGAACAATGATGTATGATAGAATTAGAAAGACACAGCTGGGTGTAAGGCTAATCGTGCTTAAAATCGGCTACTACCGGGCATGTATGTACCTGCTTTGTTTGTTCCCTAGCTATGGCCAGAAGGGCTCGAAATTCATTTATGGTAATAGGTGCACTGATGCACCCAACCTAAAAAATTGAGTACACAAAAAATATTTTGGGTGCACCATATAAAATCAGATATGAATACTGTAATGTCAGCAAAAACTAATATGTTTTATTTCTAAAGAAAAGTATAAAGATAGTAATTTTATCATTTTTCTGACACTTGGATGTTAAGAATACCCTGTATACGAATTTAACATATTTTTTATTCTTTACATACGAAAACCTAAGAAAATATTTGGGTGCACTAAGGTGCACATGCACCCAGTATTTCGAGCCCTGCAATCAATGCAATGAATAGTTTGATTAAAAGTTCAAAATTCATTGGTTTAAGTTACTAGTAACCAAGCCTTTTGTGTTGACTTCATGGCTCCTATTGTAGCATTATTGAATGCCTAGACCTGTTTTTTTTTCCCTGTCACTTCATATTTTTTTTTTTAATGCGAGAACCAAGAAGTTGAATTGGTCTGGCCTTATGCAGGCAAAAATGCTCTGTGGAATTTTGTTTGAAACTACATGTATGGTGTCGTTTTAGGTTGAATATACGTGTAGCAGAATGAGTGCTGCTAATAAGGTGACGTGGGAGTACAAAGGGGTCGCTTTGCCCCAAAATATTTCCAAGGAAACCATGGAGGCCATGTCCACCTTCCAGATTCGAGATGACGACATCGTTGTGGCCAGTTATCCAAAGACAGGTATGTACAAAATTGTACATGAGGTTATGGCTGTATCCGATGAGAGGCGGTTGAAGAGACTGATCGAGCAATTGTATTATGTATGCAACTCAATGGTTTTAATTATGATGATAGTTGTTATACTGAAATCTTTTAGTAATGGTAATATTAGTTTTACACTTAGCCGATAATTTTCTCGTTCAATGATTTTAGCTATAATTAGTACCTTGTCTGACATGTGTATGCAAATTTGTAGTTATATGTGTATATTTGTACTGTGTGTGTAATGTGTAATGAGCCCTGGAAGATTAGCCCTAACAGGCTAAAGGGTTTCGTAATAAACCAAAACTGAACTGTACGTGTACGTGTGGTCGGACAAATTAAAATTTGCAAGACAAGTTGGCAATACATTTTGCGATGCTTCTTCTAGTTCTGATTTGAAATACTTTTGAAAATTCATTATGTACTCAACACACAATTACAGAGCTCTGTGACTCAAGTAAATAATATTACGGTAAAACACGACAAAGTAACTGGATATGATTTTGAAAACGGTCAGACGTTTCAGCTAGCATCCACTAGCTTTCGTCAGCGACTGAGAGACCAGAGGAGAAATGCAGGTTTATAAGCACAAACTATTGATGGATATGTCTTAATATGATTCACTTAATTGCATATCAATCAATAGTTTGTGCTTATAAACCTGCATGCATCTCCTCTGTACTCTCAGTCACTGACGAAAGCTAGTGGATGCTAGCTGAAACATCTGACAGTTTCCAAAATCATATCCAGTTACTTGACTTGAGTAACTGCTTTTTGGTGTATCTTATTACCTGGATCATGTCTTACCTTCATTGACGAATATTAAAACACACTCATAACATCATATTAACATCAACTATGAGGAAACTGTAGTACTATATCTTTGATATTAGTTTCTTAATTATAGTTTTTAATCTATTTGTAGATACCTCTGATCTATTACTGTGTACAGCTAGTATTTGTTTATGTTTGTACCTAGTTTGTCAATGTCCTTTGTTTGTTAAGCTGACCTTATTGTTTAATCTGTTTTTAAATCCTGAGTACGTAATTCAGCGCTTTTATACGCTGCCATGTACCAATTGGAGTGTTGTCAATAAAAACTACTATAATTTATTATTCATATTAAACAAGCCAACAAAATAATTTTTCTAGGCACAAACTGGCTTCTAGAGATCGTTCTTAAGATCCGGAGAGCCGCGGGAAAACCGGAAGCCAGCTTGGTGTTGTCTCCGATGGAGATGAAACTACAAACGTTGCCACAGCCAGGCTATATCGACCTTGTGGAGATGCCCTCCCCTCGTATCATGTTAACTCATCTGCCTATTCAGTTCATGCCGCCAGGGGTATCCAAGCCACAGAATAGGGTGAGCCCAAAACATGTGAAGAAAAAAATTCCTTTTGATATGACAAAATGTCTACAACTAATGGTACTAGACATTTTGCACATAATTTTATGCAAGAGAAGACCAAGAAA